GAACACAACAGGCTTCAGACGGCTATTTTTAGAAAGGCCTGCTTGCAAGGTCCGCCCTTGGTTGGCATCTGGAAAAGACTGTGAGAAACAGTTCCCAACACTGATTTAAAACCTTCCCTACTAAACTGTTTGTTTGTTTTTGTTGTTGAAAAAATTTATATTTAGATTTAGCCAGCTGGACTCAGTTTAGATGATCCCAATTTTGTTGGCAACATCCAAAGCATCATAGTCAGGAGCCAATGGAACATATGCTTTCTTTTCTCCATTGGGCCTGATCAGAGTGTTGACCTTGACAATGTCAATGTCATAGAGCTTCTTTACATCCTGTTTGATCTGGTGCTTGTTGGCCTTGACATCCACAATAAACACAAGAGTGTTGTTGTCTTCTATTTTCTTCATGGCTGACTTGGCAGTTAGGGGAAACTTGATGATGGCATAGCGGTCAAGCTTGTTCCTCCTGGGGGCGCTCTTTCGAGGATATTTGGGCTGCTTTCGGAGATGCGGTGTCTTGGGCCATCGGAAGGTAAATGACGTGCGGATCTTCTTTTTTTTTTTTATGACTGTGGACGCCTTTCAGCACTGCTTTCTCCGCCTTCAAAGCCCTTCCTTTGGCTTCAGCTTTGGGAGGAACAGGAGCTTCCTTCTTCACCTTCGGCTCCATCTTCGTGATAGGGCATTCCTAAACTGTTTGTATAAGCAATGTGCTTTATTCTGAACACCTGTTTTCCTTTTGGGAGCCTGAAATTTTGGTACATGCTGGGCAGAGGGTGATCACATGACCAGCGCCCAATAAAAACCTTGGCCACTGGGTCTAGTCTCTAATGAGCTGCCCTCCTGGGCAACTATTTTACTCGTGTCACAATTTGTTGCTAGAGGAATTAAGCATGTTCTAATAAGTCCATCGGGGAGAAGACTCTTGGAAGCTTGTGCCTGACTTCTTCCAGACTTTGCCCCATGCACCTTTCCCTTCTAGATTTGCTTTTGTATCCTTTTGTGTAATCAGTCTTCCCCAGGAGCACTACAACATGCTGAATCCTGACTCATTCTTGTCAATCACAGCACCTGAGGGTTGGTTGTCTTGGGGTGCCCCAACACAGGAATACCTGCACTGGAGATCCAACCTACAGAGTCCTAGGGTCCTTATAATAGAGAATACAGAAAAGTACAACAAAAATATTCACAGAACTACTGGTGGACTTGTAACTAAAAAGTTATACTGTTTGACTAAAGAGCAAGAGAGAATAGTGAAAATCAAGCTATATCCCAGCCCAGTTTCTCAAGTTCAATGATGAATTCATAGATCTCCAAGTAAAAACTACTCTTGTGGGGGGCTGGGAGACAGGATGTTATTTTGGCCTCTGAATTTTTTTTTTTAATGTTTATTTTTGAGAGAGAGACAGAGTGTGAACAGGGGAGGGGCAGAGGGAGAGGGAGACACAGAATCTGAAGCAGGCTCCAGGCTCCCAGCTGTCAGCACAGACCCAATGTAGGGCTCAAACCCACAAAGCTCAAGATCATGACCAGAGATGAAGTCAGAGGCTTATCCAACTAAGCCACCCAGGCACCCCGGCCTCTGATTTCTTCACAGCAACACTTGACGCCCTGACGCTGTAAAAGCAATGTCTACAAAGTGTTAAGGGAAATAACATGGGACCTGAAACCACTATCAGTCAACCTATTGTTTAAATATAAAGGCAACAGGCAATTCTCAAGCAAGAAAGTAAATACTTTGGAGAGGAGAATACTTATTTTGGAGACGGGAAGCAGACGGGCTGCACACCTGATAAAGGACTATACTTGCTAACCAAGAGAGCAATCAAGACAACTCAGAAATGAACTATTAGAATTAAAAGTAAGCACTGCATCCATTTGAATTGTGCTTCTAGAATAACAATGTTATAAACCTCTACAATGCTAAAGAACACAGTAAATAAAAACTGGCTGGTGGAGGTTTTAGGGGATAAAATTTAAGAACTTCCTCATTTTTCATAGTGGAAACTCATAAGGTAATAATAGTGATAATGAATTTTAAAAACAAAAAAGAATGGATTTGCTCCTTTTAGAAGTGAAAAGTAGGTATGTGAATCTATTCTCCTAAATGACTTTTGAATACTTTCCTGTTGTAACTCATCATTTGTGTTTTTTAGTTCACAAATGTTCTGATGAGTAGCCTAGATCACTACAAGGAACAGGATGAAAGGGTTGCTAAATTCAGAAAATAATTAAATTATCTGCACATTTTAAAAGAGCTAACATAGCCAGTATTAGCAAGAATAAAAGATCTGAGGGGCACCTGGGTGGCTCAGTCGACTGAGTGTCCAACTTCGGCTCAGGGCATGATCTCATGGTTCGTGGGTTTAAGCCCTGCATTGGGCTGTCAGTGTGGAGCCTGGAGCCTGTTTTGAATTCTGTGTTTCCCTCTCTTTGCCCCTCCCTTGCTCACATTCTGTCTCTCTCTTGCTCTCTCTCTCAAAAATAAAGAAACATTAAAAGAGAGAAAAAGAATTAAGATCTAAGAATCTCTCATATATTGCTAGAAACATTAACTGGTAAAACTTATTTTTTTTATTTTTTAACGTTGATTTTTGAGAGAGAGAGAGTGAAAGAGCAAGCGAGAGAGTGTGCACGCATGAGCGCACAAGTCGGGGAGGGGCAAGAGAGAGGGAGACACAGAATCCAAGTAGGTTCCAGGTTCTGAGCTGTCAGCCCACAGCTCAACTCGGGGCTGGAACTCACCAACCTTGAGATGAGATCATGACCTGAGCTGAAGTCGGACACTTAACCAACTGAGCCACCCAGGCGCTCCTGACTGGTAAAACATTTTAGAAGGCAATAGGTCTCAAACTAAAATATGCACAGACCAATGAACCAGTGATTCCATGGGGTACCAATTTATCTTGTAGACATGCTTATGCAAGTCCACAAAGAAACATCTTAAGAATATTTACTGTTGGTAATAATGAAATGTCCATCAACAGAAGGATAAAAAAATTTTTTTTTTAAGTATGCAGCTATTAAAAAAGAATGAAATAGCTTTATATAGAAGTAGGGACAATTATGGACATCTTTCTATCTTGATTGAGGTGGATCTTAACCACATAGCTATACAAATTTGGGAAAACTCAGCCAATGATACACATAATTAAGATCTCTCCATTTCACCGCCTGCAAATTTCACCTTAAGAAATAAAATAAGGAACTCAAAACTCCTTCTTTTTAATGCAAAAGAAATACATACAGTATTTCTTACAGTAAATATACTTGCAGTAAATATAACACAGAAATGTTACAAGTGAAAATCTCCTCTTACCACTTTTCTCCTAATCCAACCTCATCAGAGTTAACTACTCAGAATTAACCTCTATTAATAGTTGGATATGACGGCATCTGGGTGGCTCAGTTGGTTAAGCATCTGACTCTCGATTTCAGCTCAGGGCATGATCTCATAGTTGGTGAGTTCAAACCTTGAGTTAGGCTCTGTGCTGATAGTACAGAGCCTGCTTGGAGTTCTCTCTCGCTCGCTCGCTCTCGCTCTCTCCCCCACCCCCCGCCTTAAATTAAATAAACTTAAAAAAAAAAAAAACTTTATGAAAAAAAAAATAGTCCAGGATGTGAGTTTAAGCGCCACATCGGGTTCTGTGCAGAGAAGTACAGAGCCTGCTCAGGGTTCTCTCCCTCCCTCCCTCTCTCTCTTTCTCTCCCCTGCATGCTTGCTTGCTCTCTTTCTCTCTCTCAAATAAACTTAAAGAAAGTAACTTTATTTAAAAAAAAAAAAAAAAAGTTGGGTTCGTTAAAGCCTCCAGACTTCTAAATGTAAATATACATAAATGTATAGTTGTTTTTGTAATTACAAAAAAAAAAAATTTGTAATTATCCTATGCATGGCAACCTCCTTTTGATAATTGTGAATTCTTCTCTTATTGATACATATAATTCTCCCCCATTAAAGGCCATGTTTCACTGCACAGATAAATCTTAACTTACTAAACCACTGCCTTACTATTGACTGCTTTACTAAATTACTTTAAAGCTTTCACAAAACAAGCATTTTTCTATTTAATAAAACTCATAGGGGTACAAAAAAATTAAACCATAATTAGGGATTTAAAATGTTCTGGGGAAATGAATTCCTATTATAATATGAAAAGGCTTTTTTCCCCCAATTTTCAAACGTGTCTTCCAAATACATAAATGAGTAGAACACTGTTCTACAGAACATACACAATAATTTAATGTAACTGTGGATTAAGGAATAAAATTTTACAAACATATCACCTATGAATGTAGCAAATATGTTGCTTTGTATTTTTGTGTAGCTCAAAAAAAAAAGTTTTATATTAGCAGCGGAAGCTCTTTGTTTTTTTGTGTTTTTTTTTTTCAATTTATTTATTTTGAGAGAGAGAGGCAGAATTCTGAGGAGGCTCCACACTGTCATGACGTGAGTCAAAAACAAGAGTCATACACTTAACCAACTGAGCCACCAGGCACCCCTTTCCTCCTACTTTCTAAGTCACTTCATTTGTTTACTTATAGTATTAAGAGAATCCACAACTGGGGTGTCTGAGTGGCTCAGATGGTTAAACACCTTACTCTTGATTTCAACTCAGATCATGATCTCCTGGTTCGTGAGTTGAAGCCTCGTGTCGGGCTCTGGGCTGTCAGGCTCCCAAGCCTGCTTGGGATTCTGCTTCTCCCTCTCTAAATAAATAAATAAACAAACAAATTAAAAAAAAAAAAAAAAACAGGAGGAGGAAAAACAACCAATCATTGCACCAAATGGACATAAAATGCATTACTTTCAAGGTATTTGGGCCCATTCCTAGTCTTTTTTGTAACATCTCCCACGACACAGTATGAAGTTTGGCATTTTTGAACTTGTGAATTCTTGTCTATCTATACAAAGTGGCTAATAATACAGAAACTCAGTGTTATCATCCAACAGTAAGAAAAAACCTGTGACAAATTTTTAGAATTTAATTGGAAATGGAAAAGTTACAAACCTAGGTCCAATAATAGGAATGAGTAAGACGTCCTGAAGGTCTGGATGTTGGAGAATAGGAACACTTAATCCATTAAATTGCTGTTAAAAATAAACAGAAGTATGAAGCAATCGATATAACTGATAAATTTCAACTTACAGAACTTTTCAGTGTCATTACCTAGCAGAGCATGAAGCTTGGTTTAGGCTATTCTCACTTTATTCCACATAATACTATGGAACAAAGACTTCAAAACAACTATATTTTCTGCATATTTTCTTCTTCTCTATGTCTTCCTAAGGTTCAATTTTGCTTACTGTTTGGTTTTATAAAAGCCAACCCGTATTTACTTAAATGACTTATTTTGAAAACATATATCCAATATAGAATTGCATGTAGTACTCTTTCAATGAAAAACTCTAAACAGGACATTAAAGATTAGGATTAATATTATTTATTACATACAATCAATACAGGATGCCATGTCAGTTTTGGTGAGGAAAAGAAATGCTTATTGGCAAAAGTTCAGGATTTTCAGTATCCTCTATCACACTTGGGTCTTCAGACTAGAAGTGGGTGCAGGGCCAGGAGTATAGGTGCTGAGGCCAACTCACACAGTCTCAGGAGAACCAGTTATGTGCATCTCTTCCCAACTGTCTTCCAAAGCCAAACCATTTGACATTCTCACCTATAACGTATGAAGGTTCCAGTTTCTCCACATCCTCACCAGCCAGATGAAATTTAAATTATTAAATCCCAATATGGGGCCCAGAGAACTCTGGGGAGACAAAGCACCCACTCCTCCATAATCCCATATGGGACATCTCTTTAGGACACACATGAGTTTTGGATTATGGAAGGAGAAAGAAAATAAATAGTCTGAGACCCCTTTCCTGCGAGAAGTAGGTACTGCTCTACCATCAATTTCCTATCTAGTGCTTAGGGGTCAACCTTCTGCCTTACTCTTAACCTTTAAAAGACTCAAAGCCCATCCGTAGTCAATGTCTGCCTTATCCTAGATACTAGTTACTAGTATACTAGATGCTATAGGCCCACTGGACTGGAATACTAGAATATGTAGGATCCAGGAATAGTTTGCTAGAAAAGAAAATAATCTGGATCTGCAGGAGTTATAGACAGTTGTGATGGGCCTCAGAACACTTTCCTTTCTACTACCTGAAAACATATACATGACTGCATAAGAGTATTAATTTTAGTTGTTCAGAGGAACTGCTTATATTTTGTTACTTGTTACATTTAGTTGCTTGGAGGAACTGCTTACTGTCATTACTCTCAATAAAATTATCACTATCAATATTCAAAATCGGATTACTTTTTCTACAAGTCTTATTATTACACTAGTTTGGGTCTCATACACTCAGATCCCATAGCGGGTAGTTCTTACACATTTTCTCACAACTTGAAATTTATAAAACTGTTCTTACAGACAATATAACAAACATTCCATAAATCTAATGAGATTAAAGAACAATAAGTAAATCAACATCAGTGACAATTTTCTGAAGATTTCTTAATGTTACATCTTCATTAAACTAATAACACAGCCTATAATAAATATATAAATAAAAGCCCTTTGATTATGCTTGCATCTTACTTTTAATTTACACACTAATCAGATAACTTATTACAAAACCAGACTTTTAGGGTTAGAACGGATCTCTTCATATGTATTTTAATGATGAAGCAACTGAGGCCAGAGGAGCTGAGTGACCTACTCAGTCACTATAATAAATTCTGAATCACAAGTGCTGGGCTCTAATATTACGTCTAACATTACCACTTAACAGCTGAACATTCATGATCTTCTACTTCCTTAGGTGTAAAATTGGAATAGTACATTATGTTCATAGGATTTTAGTGAACAGCAACATGACATAGACTGTAGAAATATCATAGACATAATGACAGAAAATTTGCACATACCTTCCGAAGCTCATCCAACAACAGATTTTTCACATGTTGCACTGAGGCGAGATGTGTGTTTACTCTGACAGTTGTGAATGATGGAGGGTGTGATAAGTGATTTAACAGAGTTTCAAATCTCCTTTCTGCTTCTTGTTTGCCTAGAGCAGATACCACCTGAAAAAGAGGAAAATAACAAGTTAACGTTTCAACGTCCCTTAACAAATGAACTAAAAATTTTAAGAACATGAACACCCATTCGTTCAACTAATGACTCAACCAACCAAGTTCCCTGTGATGAACTGAAGCTTTACGAGACATGTATTTTCCCATTTTTGTCATCTTTTCTTCTTAATGTTTATTTTTGAGGGTATGAGTGGGGGAGGGGCAGAGAGAGAGAGGGACAAAGGATCTGAAGCGGGATGTACACTGACACATGAGCTCGATGTGGGGCTCCAACTCAAGAACCACAAGATCATGACCTGAGCTGAAGTCGGACGCACAACCCAATGAGCCACCCAGGCGCCTCCCATTTCTGTGATCTCTGAATATACCCTGCCCCACAGCATCTTCATAAACCACTTGCCAGCCTACTAACCCACCAGCCTCATAGTATTAGCACTTTCTCTAGTGTATTAAAACTGACCTTTACCTCCAACACTTTTACAAAGTAATGGCTTTTCTTTTCGTAAAATCACTTACAGTTAGCGGGTTTGAGGCAGAGGTGGTGTCAAAGACGGACATTTGGATCTTCTTTCATAAAAGCAATATTTATTTTTTTTAAAACCGCTGGGAAAAATTTCTGAATGCCTCTATTTCTCTTAATATGCTCCTTATATTTTAAATTCTCTGAAATCTAGAGAATGTCTTTTCTCTTTCCATGCTGTCTAATCCCGTAAAATAATCTTTGGAGGGGCGTCTGGGTGGCTCAGTCGGTTGAGCATCCGACTTGGGCTCAGGTCATGATCTCGTGGTTCGTGGGTTCAAGCCCCGCGTCGGGCTCTGTGCTGACAGCTCAGAGCCTGGAGCCTGTTTCAGATTCTGTGTCTCCCTCTCTCTGACCCTCTCCCCTGTTTATGGTCTGTCTCTCTCTGTCTCAAAAATAAAACGTTAAAATTTTTTTAAAAATAATCTTTGGAAATAAAATGCAGAAATCAAATCTAACAAGTCAGCTTCAGCAATATCTTCACGCACGATTAACATTTAGATGGCTTTACTTTGAACAGAAAAGCAAAGACTTAGAAGTACAAAGTTGCCTAGAGGCCGGATCGTAAAATGTAAAGAGCACAAGCTTGGCAACCAAAGACAGCATTCACTGAGGACTTCTGTGCGAGGCACTGCGAAAAGCACAGAGAATGAGTATTTGTTGAGGACTGTGTGCCAGAACAACGCCAACTGCTTTCTCAAGATTAATATTCCAAAGCAACCTTGTAAGGATACGTATTTTTAACATCCCCAGTTTTCGCAGAAAAGGAAATTAAGGCTAAGCGCTCTGAAATGATTCGTTCAAAGCACAGAGACACAAACCCAGGACTTGGGACTCCAGATCTGGATTTTGTCATTGTACCTGAGCTCTTCAGGCTTCAGATTTCAGTCCTGTTACTTCATAGCGGTGTCACTTTGGCCTCTTTGGACCCTCCGTCCTCTCACCTGTTAAAATGGAGAGGCAATCTCTACCAAAAGAGAGAGCGAGCGAGAGAGCGCGAATATTAAGATGTAAAGGTCTGCAAGCCACCTAGCACAACGGGTGGCATTTGAGGCATTAACAACTTCTAGCATCCCTCTCACCAGACTGCCACACTCCAAGGGTGCAGCTGTGACTTCTCTGCAGGACTTAAGTTCTCGAGAACAGGAATCTTTTTGCGCTCATTTTGCAACCCCTTCAGTGCCACGCCTACTGCCGGGCACATAACCGCTTTGTTCCCCCCTCCCTTCTTCCACGTTCCTAAGGGTGGAAACGTATATACCTCATTCACCTCTGATCTCGAAAACACTAAATCCCTACGGGGAAGATACCGGCCGTTTTTACATTCGAAAAAAACCAGGCAGAAACAACCGTGTCAAGATGAGGTTTCGCTTTAGGCCTCTTTCTTTCTTTCTTTCTTTCTATTTCTCCAGAGTGTGTAAATATTTGAGTTTTTGCAAATATCATCTACCAGGTTTATTTGACCTACCTCCTTATTCATAAAACCCTCCTTAAGGTACCTTTCAACCTCAAGTCTCAAAGATATTTTAGGGAAAATAGACATTTTGGCGATAGTTTTGTTCTCCTCCAAGAAAAATGCTGGAAAACGGTGATTTTTCTCTTTCCGAGTGAACAGTGAGCAGCGTGTTGTCAAGTGAGTAACCACCCACACGCGCCGGGACCGCCAGATGGCCAGGAAAATCGCGCCGCTCTTTCCAAGTTATATTCGGCTTTTGCGGAGGTACATCCACGCTTTCTCGAGCGTCGCCAGTTCAGAGCAGCTTCCTCGCCTCCACCACACCCGTCCTTGGTCCTCCTTTAGGGACGCTCACGGAAATCACTGTGAGGCCACGTCACCCACGTTGCAAAAACACCACAAGAAAACTAAAGGGGGGGGGGACGGGGAGACAAAAAACAAACAAACAAACAAAAACCCTGACGGGCGAAACCGTTGCGAACAGGCCTGGAAAAGCGACCCGCACCTGCTCTACCACGTTCAGCCCTCTGAACCTAATTTCCAAAACCGCGCCCCCCAATTCCTCTGCCGAAAGCCGCTTCCGGCCTGCGTCACTTCCGGCGACGCGGCCCACCCTCCCCGGTCCCCCAATCCGCAGCCGCAAGTTGCCGCTACGTCACGTCTCCGGAGTTTCCCAGCGCGGTGGGTGGCGCGTCCACGTGCGGGCGGTTGGCGCAGGGAGGGGCGGCAGCCCGGGGGAGCACCTGGTTTCTGCGCCTGCGGCGGGTGTCAGGGCAGACGAGGAAATGGCGTGGGTTAAGTCGAAGGCTTTGCTGGCCTGAATAAATTGGGAGGGCCAATTAGTTACCTGCTGGATGACCTGCAAAGAAAAGAGAAAGGCAGTTTATTTGAACCTGTAAGTCACTCTTTGATTTCAGAAACGCATACTAATCTGACTTCAGCGATGAATGAACCACGTTATTCAAATTTTCGGAAGCTGGGTTACTGGTGGGTTCATGTCCATGAATGATCAGTTAAAACTTAAAAACCTACACCTAGCATTTAGTTAGTTGAGTGAGGCTAGCAGTTACCTGTATCATAGTTGATTTATACTTGAAGGCTCTGAGAACCTTGACATAATTTATGTGTTACAGATGAAGGAAAGGATTCAAAAGGAGGAGGTACCTAATGAAAGTCAGACATTTTATGATTGAATAGGTAGCTAAAAATAATTGTCTCCTTAGAAAGTCAGGATAAAGACCACAGCCACCTGTCATCTAAAACGAATACCCGGGCGCCTGGGTGGCGCAGTCGGTTAAGCGTCCGACTTCAGCCAGGTCACGATCTCGCGGTCCGTGAGTTCGAGCCCCGCGTCAGGCTCTGGGCTGATGGCTCGGAGCCTGGAGCCTGTTTCCGATTCTGTGTCTCCCTCTCTCTCTGCCCCTCCCCCGTTCATGCTCTGTCTCTCTCTGTCCCAAAATAAATAAACGTTGAAATGTGATATTTATAAAAGAAAATAATAATAAAACGAATACCAACTGTTTTCACCATGGTATACTTCAGTAAGTTCATGGGATTTTTCCGTGGCTAAATCATCTAAAAGTTATTAGAAAACATGTCTAGATCGGGCATTTCCAAAGGAATTTTTGCAGCCTGAACATTACAACCCTAGCACCAATAATCGTTGGTATCTGTATTTAGGAGATAAGGGAGAGGAAGGAACGAGTTGGACTAGATTGTAAACTCCGTGAGGGTAGAGACTTCATCTCACCACTGCATACCCACTGCCAAAACATGTAACAGGCACTTAAATGTTGAATGACTAGATGAATGGATAGGCATCTATGTGAACTAGAGAATGAAAACTTGGGGCGCCTGGGTGGCGCAGTCGGTTAAGCCTCCGACTTCAGCCAGGTCACGATCTCGCGGTCCGTGAGTTCGAGCCCCGCGTCGGGCTCTGGGCTGATGGCTCGGAGCCTGGAGCCTGCTTCCGATTCTGTGTCTCCCTCTCTCTCTGCCCCTCCCCTGTTCATGCTATGCCTCTCTCTGTCCCAAAAATAAATAAAAAACGTTGAAAAAAAAATTAAAAAAAAAAAGAAAACTATATTTCATGTATTTGCTGGAAGCATGTATTTGCTGGAAACTAGTTTACTAGTGAAGCACATATAAACAGTGCTGAGGACTTTTAGACTATCCTTGTCTAGACACTATTGTAGTGACAGGTTGATGAAGACGCCTCTTAGTGTTCTAAGCTTGGGTCCAAGACAAACCTATACCAAATCTGAAGTTGGCACAGTGCATACATATCGTCTAAGCAAAGGAAGAGCCCTATAGGAATATACCCATATACGGGTCATTTAGGTTGTATTTGCTCCATGGGATAATATGGCTGCCCATGTGGAGGAGCAAAAAAAATCTTAGGTACAATCTTATAATCTTAAGTCTTAGTTTGTAGTGCTCCAAAGCTTAACCTTACCAAAAACCAAACATATTCCAAAATATTCAATTTCATGAAGAAGGTATGAGGGGATTAGGAAAAAAAGTCTAGAAAGGCAGGAAATCTATCAACTCATCTGGAGGCTAAAGTCAAAGTGGACATAATCTTAATAGTGTAGGAGAGTTGTTTGTTTTTGAAAAGTTTCATTCCTAGTTGGCAGAACATGCTGTCCTGAACTCTTCGTTCAAGCCATGCATGCAGTTTATCTTAGTTAACAGTAATAAATTGAATTCAGTTCCTGCTGTAGCCAACTCTTCTAAGTACTATCTAAATTTGGATAATTAGTTCCTTGTGAGGAACACTAGTTACAGGTTGTTGTTTTTAATTCCCTAGTTGTTCAATGTTTCATTTTTTCCTGAAATTTTAATTTGTTTTGCTTTATGTACAGTACTTTTATCTTTTTCTTAAAATTTAATGAACTGGAGAGAAATATTACTGGTATTGGGTTTTAATTAAAGGAAGTTATTTCCAACTAACACTTCAGAAAGTAAGTTATAATCCTAATGACAGTATTATCACGTTCCTTTTTCATGATTTTTTTTTCTTTCATGAATTCAAAATATATTCAGATAGTAACATTTCATAGAACAGTGATACCTTCTTTGGATTAAGGCTACACTGAAATTAGTTTTTAAAAGTTTTTAAAGGAATGTTTTCAGAAAAAAATTAGCAAAGGTGTTTTTTAAGTTTAAAAAGTGTGTTCAGGGGCGCCTGGGTGGCTCAGTCGGTTAAGTGGCCGACTTCAGCTCAGGTCATGATCTCGCAGTCCGTGGGTTCGAGCCCTGCTGTCAGCACAGAGCCTGGAGCCTGTTTCAGATTCTGTGTCTCCCTCTCTCTGACCCTCCCCTGTTTGTGCTCTGTCTCTCCCTGTCTCAAAAATAAATAAAACGTTAAAAAAAAATTTTAAAAAAAAGTGTATTCAAAATATACTTAAAAAGTGTATTATTCAAAACTCTTTAGTTTGATTAAATTATTGACAAGTATTCCTACTATAATATATATAATACAAATATACAATATGAACTAAATTGTATCTTTTGTAAAAGATGATACTGGTATGCCAGATGGGTTCTGTTTAGATAATGCGGAACTCTATTTTTGTTAATCAATTATATTCGCTTTTCAGTTGTGAGTGGTTTTCTTTTCTTACAGTTAATAAAAATTTCAAATTCCTAAATCGGCAAATAACACTTTCTAATGTGAAAAAATATTTTAAAAATATTTCAGCAGTCCTGTTGTCAGGTAAATTGTAGAGAAGATGATAAAAATTAGAACAGTTCTTTAACATAAAAGTTTCAGACATTTTGGAGCACCTGGCTGGCTCAGCTGACTGAGCAGGCAGCTCTTGATTTGGGGGTTGTGAGTTCGAGCCCCACATTGGGTGTAGATATTACTCTAAAAAAAAAGTTTCAAACATTTTGAAAGAATAGCACCAATAGAAATATCAACAGCCTTGCTCAAATATATTCATTCCACCACTGAATTAAAAGTGAAAAAATACTTCAAATTTACTTTCTAAAGTATCATTACACCATCATAAAAATATTTAAGAAATAAGTAATTTTTTTCCTTCAAAGCTCTGCAAAAACAAAACAAAACAAAACTGCTTTATTTCAGAAACTGTTTTTTGGAGATCCAAAAGCCGGAAAATAGTGGAATGTAGTTTATATATATGTGTGTAACAATTTGAGAGGCTAAGTTACAGTATCTAAAGGTTTTTTTATGAATAATGAAACTATGATTAGAAATACCCCTTTAAGCCTGTACACAAACACAAAATCATTTATATTGGAGCCAATTCATGATCCTGACAGATAAACTAATTTACATAGGCTCAGTACATACCTTTTCCTCTACATGGGACGTTATAACTTGTCTTTAATATGAGAAAGTTGGAGTACATTATCCCATATAAAAGTCTTCAAGAATCTTTGTGGTTTTTTTTGTTTTGTTTTTAAATTTTTTTAACATTTATTTATTTTTGAGACAGAGAGAGACAGCATGAACGGGGGAGGGTCAGAGAGAGAGGGAGACACAGAATCTGAAACAGGCTCCAGGCTCTGAGCGGTCAGCACAGAGCCCCACGCGGGGCTCGAACTCACGGACCGCGAGATCATGACCTGAGCCGAAGTCAGACGATTAACCGACTGAGCCACCCAGGCGCCCCGAAGAATCTTTGAATCATAACCCTAGGAGGATTTCACAAGTCATACATTTCATTTCTCTTTCTACAGCTAAGGAAGGTTTGGCCTGTTAAAAGGCCTTGTTACCTGGGTTAAAATCTACCACCTGATTGAAGTCCAGTTCAATTAAGTTCTCTCCTTTACTGATTTCAGGGGCATTAGGTTTCATGCCAGGTTATGCAGCTTTTAAATTTGTTGGAACGTAACAAGGCAAAGAAGGTGGAATTGTGTAATAGTGTACAATGCAGTGACAGATTGTAGTTACTTGTGTGAGCATATAAGACAGAGATGTTGAATCACTATGTTGTACACTTGACGCCAATGTAACGTCGTGTCAACAATACTAAAAAAAAAATGATTACAAAGTGGAATTGAAACGCTTAAGTAGAGAATTGGCTTTTTGACTTAAAAGGTTAGCCAAGAAATAA